TGATCATTAACAAGGGAGAGCTTGCATAACTGTTCCAAAAAAGAATGAACCTTGATGAAGACATTTTTTTTTTCTGACTCCTCAATAAGGGGCAACACACTGTAGTGGAAAGAGCTTTGGAGTGGAGTAAAAGCAAGGATTTGAATCTTTGTGCTGCTACCTACTACCTATACAACCTTAGAAGTGTCATCTCACCTCTCTGAATTACAGTTTTCTCATCTTTAAAATAGGGGCAACTATGTGGTGAAGTAGATACAGCTCTGGGCTTGGAGTCAGGAAGACTTAAATTCAAATCTGGCCTCAGACACTAACTAGTTGTGGGACCCTGGGCAAGTCGCTTAACCCTGTTTGCCTCAGTTTCCTCATCTGTAAAATGAGCTGGAGAAGGAAATGGCAAACCACTCCATTATCTTTCCCAAGAAAACACCAAAGGGGTCATGAAGAGTTGGATATGACTGAAACTATTGAACATCTTTAAAATGATATGGTTCTACTCAATTATTAGTAAGGTCCCTTCCAACTAGAAAACCTGATAATCCTCTCTGAAAAATAAGAAATCCTTAAATATTAAATAGCTAACTCCCCCCCCCTTCTCTTTCTTCAGAGGTGGAAGACTGTGGGTATGGAATATTATATGTGTGTGTGTGTGTGTGTGTGTGTGTGTGTGTGTGTGTGTGTATGTATACTGTCAGGCATTATTAATATGTTGGTTGATTTTGCTGACTTGCTTTTTCATTCTCTCTTTAAAAAAATTTTTTTTAACCAAGAATGGCTTGTAAGGCAGGGAGGAGAAGAGATGTAGCCATAATGAAGGTGATATAAAAGCATAAGGTTTCAATAAAAATAATCTTAACATAGCCAAACAATTCAGAGATTTTTTTTCATAGTAGTCCTGACTGTGATGGTTGCATGGAGCTGTTTCAGGCTGTTTTTTACAACAGTACAGCTAGCAGTTGAAAAGTGGAAAAATCAGTAAACCAGTTGATTATTTAGTCTACATAAGTTTAGTTTCATGGCTATGGTTCTCGTTCTCTCTCTCTCTCTCTCTCTCTCTCTCTCTCTCTCTCTCTCTCTCTCTCTCTCTCTCTCTCTCTCTCTCTCTCCCTCTCTCCCTCTCTCTATGCCTTCTCTCCCTCTCCTTTTCTCTGTCCTCTCTGTCTCTCTCTCTTTTCCCCCAGCTCTCTTCTTCCCTCCTCCTCTCCTGCCTCTCCCTCTCTCATAATAAACTGGAGGGAAAGGATGTTTGAATTAGTATCTATGAACCTAAACTGGCCCTCAGAAAAACATCTAGCTCTGCTTGTACATGACTAGGAATCCCTTCTCCAAATGTCATTCACAAGCGGTCATCCAGCTGTAGGTGGAGGGATCCAGTCACTACCTTTGAGGGCAACTCATCTCACTTTGGGACAGCTCTAATCATTAGCAACTTTTTCCTCAGTCAAGCCTAAACATGCTTTCCCTACTTCCAGCCAATGATCTTAATTCTGCCCAGCTGGGGCTCCGTTCCCAGTTCTGTATGATTTAGGTTATCAAAAGAGCCTGATAGTTGTCTAGTTTTGAATCTATTGAAATTTATATTAAATTGATCTACATCTACTTGAATGGCATATTTCCAATGTTGCATACTTTCTCATTTTTGAGACAAAGGATCCATATTTATAAATACACTAAAAAGGCACACTCTTTTCAAAAATGTACTGCTTTCTTTGTAAGTAACTGTAAGGCAATATTCTTTGAGTTTAATTAGTGGCTGATTGAATGATTAATATGCATTTAAAAGTAGCCAAAAATGAAATTACTTTATTGTACAAGGATAAAGCCTTTCATTACCATTAATTGAGTTTTAACAAATGGCTTGATTGGAAGGGAAGGCAAAAGGAAAACATTTCATCAAATGCCACCTGATTTCATGCCTTCACTTTCCACAAGAGCCATATGCATTATAGCCAAGGTCCACAGAAAAGCCAATAGTACTCCATATTCTAATTACACATTTTCTAAGAAAATAATTTTGCTTCAAAACAAGTGCTTTTATTTACTTGTCTTCTTTTTCAAAGGGTTTAGATCAAATATCTCCTGAAATTACTTGAGACTAAAAAGAGCAATAACATTTTCAGACATATCAGTAATTCAAAGATTATAAGAAGCTGAGTAAGGTCCAAGAGACAGCTTTGCTTTATCATGACTAATTTTAGCTTGTTTACTTTTTTTAGTACAAAATAGGTGATATTGAAACAGATTTGAAAATAGGAAGGTTTGGAGATAGTTCACTTTTTTCTTTAAAACTTTTTTTAATTGACAAGTATTTATTATCTCTCTTGCAACTTACTTAACCATCTTACTAAAAAACAAAAACAAAACAAAAACCCAAACCCTTAAGAATATAAAAAAAAATACAGAGAAAAAAAGTGTGAAGGAGACTAGCAGTTCCAGATTTCATGCTACAGTATAGATTTTATACTATTCTATAAAATAGTAATCCTCAAGATGATTTGGTACT